GGAATGGCCAGCCTCAGGGAGGGGATGTGTTAATTTCTTCTTTCTTGTAGCCATTCACAGGTGGACAGGGTCTGGATGTTTCCCTGAATATAGGCACTTTGATTTAACATTCAGGCAGAGGGGCAGCGTTCCCCGAGGCAGGCCATTATGTATAGACAGTATCCTTTTAGTGAATAAAAGCAGTGGGAAGCAAAGGTTAAAGTAAAAGAAACAGATCTGACATGTAGCCAGATTTTGTTCTTCCCTGTAACAACAGCATTATCCACAATGGCTAAAAGGTGAAAGCAACCCATAATGTCTATCAACAAATGAATGGATTTTTTTTAAATGTGGTATATACATGCAATGGAATATTATTCAGCTTTAAAAAGAAATGAAATTCTGGGACTTCCCTGGTGGTCCAGTGGCTAAGACTCTGCACTCCCAATGCAGGGGGCCCAGGTGCGATCCCTGGGTCAGGGAACTAGAACCCACATGCCGCAACTAAGAGTTCACATGCCATAACTAAAAAATCCCGTATGCCACAACTAAAGATTCCACATGCTGCAACTAAGACCCAATGCAGCCAAATAATGAAATACTAAAAAAAAAAAAAAAAAAAAAAACGAAATTCTGACACATGCTTTAATATGGATCAACCTTGAAAACACGGTGCTAAGTGAAAGTGAAATAAGCTAGTCACAAAAAGACAAATAATGTATGATTCCACTTAAAAGAGGTACTAGAAATAGTCAAATTTAGAGACAGAAAGTAGAACTGTGGTTGCCAGGGTCTGGGGAAAAGAGAAAGTGAGGCGTTATTGTTTAATGAGTACAAAGTTTCAGTTTGGGAAGATGAGAAAATTCTGGAGATGGATGGTGGTGATGGTTCACAATAATGTAAATGTATGTAAAACCATTGAACTATATACTTAGAAATGGTTAGAATGATAAACTTTATGTAATATATATTTTACCACAATAAAAAAAGAAAAATGTTGACAAAAATTTTTAAAGAATATTGGTCATTAGAAAGTATCTGATACTGTTTTAGCTCTTTATTTTGTAGCTCTGAACTCTGAATAACCCATTTTCCCAGTTCAGTGGTTCTTAAAGTGTGATCTGGGGACCCTTGGAGGTCACCAATACCTTTACAGGAAACTCATAAAGTCAAAATTATTTTCATAGCAATACGAAGATGTTATTTGTGTTTTTTTTACCTTCATTCTCTCATGAGTAAATATGGGAGTTCTGCAAAGGTTATATGACATATGTTATCACAAAAGACTGAATTCAGAAGTAGCAAGGAGAATTCTACTCTCTTAAATTAAATTAAATTAAATCAGACATATTTTTGTCTGACAAATTTGTCTCCAAAAATATAGTTATTTTCATAAAATATATTATTTATGTTAATGTTACCAAGTCCAAACTCTCTCTGCTCACCACATGACAGGCCAATGAATCAGAGAGGAGGTGCTGAGGCAAGGAATACAACTTTATTCAGAAAGCCAGCAAGATGGCAGACTAGTCTCCTAAAAACCATCTTATGGGGTTTGGATGCCAGTTTCTTTTATAGCACAGAGAGGGGGAGGAGATGAGGAAGTAAAGTAAAAAGGCCATAAGTTTTGCAAATATCCCCTGGAATGGCCAGCCTCAGGGAGGGGATGTGTTAATTTCTTCTTTCTCACAGCCATCCACAGGTGGACAGGGTCTAGATGTTTCCCTAAACAAAGGCACTTTGGTTTAACATTCAGGCAGAGGAGCAGCGTTCCCCGACACGTAATACATAAGCAAGCTTCCCGTTGCTTTCCTTCTTTTAGTGAAGAAAAGCAACGGGAAGCAAAGGTTAAATAAAAGAAACAGATCCAACATGTAGTCAGATTTGGCTCTTCCCTGTTACATTAACATGTAATAGGATTATTATTATAATTTTAAATGAATTAGTAAGTATTTTAATATTTTCTCTAATATCTAATATGGAAAATAGTGATAGATAAAATCTACACAAACAAAAACTTCGGGGTTCTCAATATTGTTAAGAGTGTAAAGTTGTCCCAAGACCCAAAATTTTGAGAATTGCTGGTCCAGTTTATAGGGTGATCAGACAAACCCATTAAGATACTAACAAAATGACATTTCTCACCTAAAATTTTACCCATTACCTCAGGTTAATCAGGCTAATCTCCAAACTCTTCTAGATTCAGATAAAACCCAAAATTGTCTGTGAACATAAACAGTTTTGTCAAATGTGGGTTAAGTAATACTACTTGCTGATAAATAATTCTGAATCTGCAAACTTCTGGGCCTGACTTTATTGCTACTGGATCAAAATTCATGCCTGCACATAGAGGATGGCAGTTGAATATTCTAACACAAATTAGGGGTTTGAAAGAAATGTACTTTTTAATTGTGCACCTTATCTATTTTGTGGTCACTTAAATATAACCCACTAATTTTAGAGTTCTTATTCTACTTAGACATACAATTTAAAATTCATTATCCAGCATATAATTCGCAAAGACTGTATAAAGACTAGTTATAAAATAGTGACATCAGAAATATAGTCATAGTTTAAGATAGGTCACTCAGTCTTCTTTTAGTCTGTATAACCATGTTTTGCTTTCTAAAAGATCCTTGAGAAAAGATGTTTCTGGTAAATGCTGACTGAAACTGTCTTAATTCTTTTCCTTTGCAGGAAATCAGGTCTTATCAAGTCACCTACAGGCATAGTGGTTAAAAACTTGCCTGGTAGGCAAACCTGCATTCCAGTCTCAGCTCAGATACTTAGTAGCTGTGTGACCTCAGGCAAATTGCTTACCATCTTTTATTCTATTTTGTTTTTTACCTTAAAAATATTTTTTTATGGATAAGTAGTACTTTTATGTGAAATAACACAAAGAAGCATAGCTAAAAATATTCTATTCACCCAAAAGAAGGCAGGAAAGGAAGGAGAAACTAAAGATCAGATGGAACAATTAGAAAACAAATACCAAGATGACATATTAAAATCCAACCATATCAGTAATTACATTAAGTGTAAATGGACCCCAGTTAAAAGACACAGGTTGTTAATTTGTATGAAAAAGTAATACTCAACCATATACAGGTCTCCCCCACTATCCAAAAGTGGAGGATTCCTGTGAAAACTTTTGTAAGCCAAAATGGCATAAAGCAAAAAAGCAATTACCTTAGGACACATCTTGTTAATAGATGCACAAAATAAATCAAGATAAAGCACAGATGCTCAAAGCTATGGCGGCCTAATGCTGGGATTCTGAGTGTAGTTCCCAGGGAAGGAGCTTGGAGGTGCCGCTCTTGATGCTCAGGGTTTGCACCGCCTCTAAAGCAGCTCACTGCACAACAAACACTGAAAGCTATTTTCGGTTTTCACCTTTTTTCGTAAAAGTGAAAATCCTCTTCAGATTTCTTTCATTTAGCGACAACAGGTACCAATGTAGGTCTTTCATCAAAGTGAAGGAGGTAAAGCAAACTTTCAAAAAGCAGTGCATACCTGTATTGTCTATAAGAGAAGCACTTTAAAGATACAAATAGAATACAATTAAAAAAGAGATGGGGGGCTTCCCTGGTGGCGCAGTGGTTGAGAGTCCGCCTGCCGATGCAGGGGACACGGATTCGTGCCCCGTTCCGGGAAGATCCCACATGCCGCGGAGCGGCTGGGCCCGTGAGCCATGGCCGCTGAGCCTGCCCGTCCGGAGCCTGTGCTCCGCAACGGGGGAGGCCACAACAGTGAGAGGCCCTCATACCGCAAAAAAAAAAAAAAAAAAAAAAAAGAGATGGGACCTGGTAGCCCTACAAGCATTTGGTATTAAACGTAAACTCTGTGCAATGATGACTGGGATGGTAAAAAGAGCAGGACAAATATTTGAGCAGGAGAGCTGTCCTTACTTGATTCCTTCTGGTGAGCAGGGGTTGCTGCTGACATTTCTTCTGATCTGAGGTGGTAGGATCTAGGTCTTTCCAGATCTTTCCAGTTCACCTCCAGTGTTTTAATTTCTGTGGAGATACAAGGGAGCAATAAACTTGGGAAGCTGCCCTTTACACTTTGCCTATAGGTTCTCACTTTCAGCTCACCATCCTACGGTGGTTCTTCCTCTCAAGTCCTTTCTTTAGCACAGGACGCTGCCTTCGGGGGAGAGGGGCGGTAGCACACAACACTGCCCCCCTCTCGGCGCCCGGTCAGGGCCTCTCAGAGCAAAAGCTGGGGGCTGAGAGACGTAAGGGTACCGGGGTGGCAAGGGACGGACCCCTGAGTGCAGGGCTCGAACAGATATAACAGGGACCAAGAGGCTGCAGCACAGCGCACCCAGGGTTCTCCCCCGGCACCGCGTGCAGAGCCGGAAAGGCGCCGCTTACCATCTTTTAATCTCACTTTACCTATCAGTAAAATAGAGATATTAATACCTTTTCCCAATGGATTAAGTAAGAATTAAGTAATGGGTAAAAAGCAATTAGCCCAGTCCTGGATCCATATTAAGCACCTGATCAATATTAGCAACTATTTCAAATACTGTTATTGGCTTCCATTACACTATCGAGCTATTTCTAATTAGAAATAAGAGAAAGAAATCAAAGGCCTTGCTGTTATCATTTTCCCTCTTTCCTTAGGAAATGCAGAGACTGACAACATTAGGAACTATAGAAAGGGAAAAGCAGGCACTCTTCTGTCTGTCCTCTGAAAGCAAAGGATAGTCAGAGAAGAGGATTAAGCCAAGTCATGTCTCTTGTAGCCCCAGTTCATCAATTCTAAAATGAACATTTATTTCACATTATAACACCTCTGCAATAGGGATACATCTTACACTGCTTAACTAGCAGGGTTTTTTCTTTCTTAATGCTAAATAAAATAATGGCAAATCTTAAAATTCATGGCATCTTAAATTCAATGAAATAGAGTAATTGAGCTTTCTGCTAAAAAATACTAATAGCACCCAAATAATCCTCCAAAGTACACCCTTTATTATTGTATTTATCACAGTATCTTACCATCTCTTTCCCCAGGCCTAACATGCTTATCATCTGGCACAAAGAGGTCACTTAGATTGATGGAATCAATGCATGCATGGGCTTGATGTGACCTTACTCACCACTCCTACTGTGAGTATCTGAAAAAAAATGTAGCCAAGGGAATTCTATTTCTCTTTTCTCAGAATCCAACAGTCTTTAATTATACAGTGTTGATGTTGCTTATACTTGTTTCATGCATGTGAACCTCATCTACCCGACTATAGTGTAAGCATCTCAAGATAAGGACTGAGTCAGATAAATTTGCCTTCCCTACAGGGCTGGTGACGTGGTATATACTTAGTGATCAATTGCCTAAAGGGATTTTTTTTTTTACACTGTACAAGGATATATGAGCATATTCCTGCCAATCTGACTCCCCTAGAATTCTGAGTAGCGGATTTTAAAAAATTCCTTTGGGAATTCCCTGGAAGTCCAGTGGTTAGGACTCTGTGCTCTCACTGCCCAGGGCTGGATTCAGTCCCTGGTTGGGGAACTAAGATCCCACAAGAGTGTGGCATGGCCAAAAAAATACAATATATAAATTGTTGGAGAACTTAAAAAAAAAAATCCTTCGCTGCTCTAACAATTCAAATCACTTAGAATTTCTTTCTCCACTACTTACTGATTGTTAATGGACCCTTTGCTGATCAGAAGAGTCAAACCTACAGTGAAAGAATTACAAACTGCAGAATAGATGGTCACTAGCATAGCTGACGCTGTTGGTGTATCACTCACAGACCCTCTGATCACTTTTGATCACTTCTGTGATCAAACACTTCTGTGTTTGCTTTGCTTCCAAAGAAGATGCTTTGTCAGTATTTGCAGAAATTCAGAATTGCCCTGGGGGAACCATAGCCATTGATTGATTGGTGCCTGAATAGAAAGCCCACCACGTTTGCCTCAAGGCTGGATGAACCCTGAGGTATAATTTATGCTCCAGAGCTCCTCACAGGATCAGGCCAAGGCCAGGGCTTCATGAAACGGCACCCGTGCTTGCTTCATTTACCCCATCCCTATCCTACTCCCTCTACACCCTTAAAAAAGGGCGTCTTCGAGACAGGATCTGAATTTGATAGTGTCTGAGTTTTTGCATAAAAATAATGGGAAAAAAACTTTTGTGTTCCAAGATTTAAATGTTTGTTTATTCTTCACCCTGGGTGTATATTCTTGAAACTCATAATGAGCAATATAAAACCATCAACAAAACCAAGACTGGAGAGTCTTTCTGCCCTGCCCTTTAGGAGGACACATTCTGCCCTGAGCAGGATAATAGGAATAAGGGAACAAAAGAACAGCAAACAATAAGAACTGACCAAACAGCATTTCACAATCGATTTTATTTTATTTACAAGTGATATTTATCTAATTTTATTTTTGACAATGTCTGGCTTTTTTGCTGAGCTTCTTAGTGGCCTTTTGGAACTAAAACTGTAGTGCAAAATGAGTTGATCGACATTTTGATAAAATGCTGCAAGATCACATAACAGAAATGCATCCTCTAATAGGCTCTGATTTCTCTCTCACTGCATCCCTTATAATGTAGTCGTCTTTCCTTATCAATGGTTTCTTTTACCTGTGGTTAACCACTGTCGGAAAATATTAAATGGAAAATTCCAGAAATAAACAATTCATAACTTTTAAATTGGGCACCATTCTGAGTAGCGTGATGAATCTTGTGCCATCCTGCTCCATCCACCTGGGACGCAAACATCCCTTTGTCCAGAATATCCATGGAGTATACACTACCCACTGGTTAGTATAGGAAAAAACAGCATACCTAGGGTTTGGTACTATCTGAGGTTTCAGGTATCCACTGCGGGTCTTGGAAGATATCCCTACGGATAAGGGGAACTGCTGTACTCTGGAGTCTCAAAAACAAATCTCAGGATCTATTCTAGTGAATGGAACAGTTATACAAGTTTGTACACCTTGGCAGGCAGTTTCACAAATTTGTTTCTGAATTTCTTCAAAGCTCTTAGGTGTGGTAGATGGAAGTGTGGATGGTGACAACTCTGGGACTGAAGTCTTGTTCTTTTCCTTTTATGGCATTCAGCAAGTTTGTTTAATCTTCCTGAGCTTCAGTTTTATTTCCTTAATAAGACTGTTATAAAGAAATGAATGAGATAATATGTAGTTGGTGGGGCAGCTGTTTGAGATGTTAATTTATATCTTGTTCAGGCTGCTATAAGTATTTCTGCCTCCCCGATCCAAGGAAAGCAACCATGTCTGCCTCCAGGAGTAGTTAATGGCTTTAATGTTGCAGGGCCAAAATTAAAAGTTGTCTGACACTCAGAGCATAACCTTTGGTCTAGTCCTGAAGGTGATCCAGCTAGATTGTTGCAGATGGCAGGAGAAATTAAGGGTTAGGAGAAGAAGTGGACCAACACTAGACAGTAAACTATTTGGGAAACACCTCCCCATGTTTAGAGGGGATGCACTTATGGATTTCAAGAGAGTCAGGGACATGTGCCCTACTCCCACACAGTAGCAGGATCCAGGGCCTCTGATGGTGGCCAGCTTGTTACAAAATTGTATGTGTCAAGATAGAATGATAGAACCTTTTTAACAGTTTTTCGGCTGGATTTATAATTTTAAGATGTTTAATATATGGTATATGAACCTCCATTTGTATTCTTGTCCTAGGCCCTGTAAATATTTGGGGTGGCCTGGAAAAGGGGCCATAGGACTTGGATCATGAACAACCAACAGTGGTAGCTAATGTGGTCTGAAGAACAGAGAGCCCATCTCAGAATATTATGGAATATGTAGGACCCTGGGATGGTATAGAAACCCCTAATAAATTGTCTTCCCCCTAAAGTAAACATGACAGATCCTGAATTTCTCATCTCCCTTGACCTAGGTGGCTCAGAGCCAGATTTAACGTCATTTAGAACAAAATAGGGGCACGGATTTTTCTCTATCTTGTTCACTGCTTTATCCCTAGCACCTAGAACAGTGCCAATACACTTTGTTGAATGAATGGATTCTTGCTTCCAGTGCCAAGGACCAAACTCCCACCTGCCACATTGTGTAAAGCTCCTGGTTTTGTGCTGTCACATATAAGGTGTCAGTGTCAGGCACTCATTTTTGCCAAATGCCATATAATACATCTTTGTATCTAATGTGTCAAATGAGCCTAGAATACCCTGTTTATTTATTAAATTGTTTTAGCACCTTTAGCACTGTCTGTTATGCACAGTCAACTAAGTACTTCACCTGCCAGTTTTCCTTACTCCCTTCCTAAGTCCTAATCCCACTTTTCTGATGGAGCCCCTATCATAGATCCAGGGTTTCTTTGGCCCTGTATGTGAAACTAATTCTGTTTCAGAGACCACAGCCTTAGGGCTCTAGATCCTTCTCCATCTATATGCAACTTTTCCACCCTTCATAGTATAGTTCTGTTCCTTGGTTGTGCCCACATTTAACATAGTACCTGCCTTCTCTCCCATCCTAGATACAATCCCAAAGTTAGAAATTCCCTTACCAACACCACCAGTTATCCACATGAGAGATACCCTTTGATCTCTGGGCCAGAAAGTGATGCTTCTACTGTCACCCTTCAGGGCAATTTATTTAGGGAAGAGTTGTAGAAAGGGCAAGTCCATCTAAAAGCAACCTTCTTTCTTGGCACTGAGGACTGAAGGGTATTGTTTTAAAGCCTTCTGTAAGGCTCCATGTACCTCTGTGTTTCTCAGCTTCTGCCATCTATAGAGAATACACCTGTTCTCAGAGGACTGAAAAACCATATGGTCTCCACCCTGTTGTTGGGATATAGTCGCAATCATGGCTAGAATTTTATTAGTCTGAGTTTGACCTTTTTCTGTGTGTATTCACTAGCTTAGCGATTTAACTACTCTGAAACTCTATTAGTACCAAGCTCAGTAAGCTCCTAATTTGTACACTGGAGGCTCCTTGCAAGCAAGAACTGTGCCTTTTGGTTCTGTATCCCCAGCACTTAGTACCCCGCCTGGTATGTAGTACCGTTCAGTGAAATCCCTCCTAGAGATAGATTCTGTCAAGAACTGTAAAGAGTCTGAGTTTTACCCTACTTGCAAGTTAACAAGTTAGTCTGTCATAGTTTCACGGTTGCTGGTAGAAGACATGAGACTCCTGTGTCAGAGTCAAAAATGGTTTATTACTCATAGCAATAGTAATAGCTAGAGTATCTGCCTTTTTAAAGTCAGTTCCCCAAGACCTAGTTTCCATAGGGCAATGGGAATAGGGCCAGTTAACACCTGTACATGAAGAACTCTGAGCTTAGGGAGCCAAAATCTTTGTTTTACTTTGCAGAATTTTCATGGTTTTATTTAACACAAATAAAACTTGCACATGAACTGTTCATTTTCTTCACTGTGCAGCCTGGCATTGTGATCAGTGACTCACGGCCAGCTGGGCTGCTCTTTCCACAATGCCTTTGAGGTTCTTGGAGGAAATGAGAGCCATCTCAGCAAGATTTGTTGCACATCAGCAGCACTTCCAGCTTTTTGATGTTGTAGACCAGAAACTTCTAGAAGCCACTAGGCAGCATGTGCTTCATTTTCTTGTTGCTGCCATGACCAATATTGGGCATCAAGATCTGGCACTTGAATCTTCTCTGTACCCTGTTATCGATGCCTCTGGGTTTCTGCCAGTTACACTTAATTTTGACATATCAGCCTGACTGGTGCTGGATGAACTTCTTGGTCTTCTCTTTGATCACTTTGGGCTTCATAAGGTGTCTGAGAACAGTCATGATGCTGGGTTGGAGATGGCTGCTACCTCCCCTGAATCTTTTATAATGGGCAGTAAATATGCCTACCCTTTACTCCAGAAGGACACCCTGTTGCCATCAAACATTCTTGAAAAGGTAGTCTGGAACAAAGTGCAGTTGGTGCCTCATTTACAGGACTTGCAGAAATGGGAATGACCCACGGAGAAATGTCTCAACAGATGGCTGAAGTGAAGCAGAGGTGGCAGCAGCCTGAAGTTCACTTGCTCCTGCCCAACCCAATCTCAGAAGCCTACAAGAGCAAACAGTTTTTTCAGTGTTTCAGGAGCACTCTGTTCATTCTGGCTTCTACTTCTTTGGTGGTCCAATACTCCCTGCCTTG